CTAGAGTTTAGGGAATTTTGTTTTGCAATACTCATACCATATAGACCAAGTGTAGTAGGCTGTACTATCTAGTTCGTGTAAATTCATTGTGATGTTCACACAATGCTGAAATCACTTAATGATGCAGCTCTCAGAACATGTCCCCATCATTAAGTAACACATGACTATCAGATTGTGGTTAATATTCAAGATATACAAAAACTCACATGACTCAACAGTAAAAAAAAAATATGTGTGTATACACATACACACACACACACACACAGCCTTACTAAAAATAAATGGGCAAAGGGTTTGAATAGATTTTTCTCTCCAAAGAGGACATAAAAATGGCCAAATGTAGGGCTGATATAGCTCAGTCCGTAGAGTGCTTGTCTCGAATGCACAAGGCCCTGGGTTCAATTCCCAGCACCAAAAAAAAAAAAGGGGGGGGGGACAAATGTACATGAAAAGGTGCTCAAAATTACTAAGAATTAGAGAAATGCAAATCAAAACTCCTATGAAATACCACCTCCCACCTGTTAGGACAGCTATTATCAAAAAGACAAGAGATTAAAGCTGTGTATGGTAGCACACACCTGTAATTCCAGCTACTTGGGATGCTGAAGCAAGAAGTCCGTGAGTTGGATTGGAGGCCAGTGTGGGTCATTTAGCCAGACTCTGGGAGTAGGGGTGTTTTATTTAAAAAAAAAAAAGCTGTTTTGGTTTGGTTTGATTTTTGGTACTGGGAATTTAACCCAGGGGTACTTAACCACTGAGCCGCATTCCCAGCCCTGGGATAACAAGTTTTAGCATAAATGTGAAAAAACAAGAACTGACTATATGCTGTGGAATGAACTGGCACAGCCATTATGGAAATTCCTAAATTAAAACTAGAACTACCATTTTGTCCAGCAATCCCTCTTCTGGACATACACCCAAAGGAAATGGAACCACTCATGAAGTCCTCTCCCCTCCCATGTTCACTGCAACAGTATTCACAATCGCTAAGATGTGGAGACAACCTAAGTGCCCAGCAGTGGACAAATGGCTAAAGAAACTGTGGAGCATGTGCACTGCATACACAATGGAATAGTATTCAGCCTTTTAAAAGGAGGAGGTTCTGCTGTTTGCCACAACATGGATGGACTTAGAGGATGTTGTACCAAGTGGAAATAAGCCAGCCACAGAAAGAAAAACATTGCATGCTCTAATACATGAATTGTGTTTAAAAATGAGTTCAAAATATTAAGAATAAAACAGTGGTCACCAGACTTCAGGTGTAGAGAAGGAAATGGAAAGATGTAAATCAGACACTACAAAGTAGTGAATATGTGGGATGAACAAGGGGGAGACCTAATGTATTTAGGACTTTGACTAAAAGAGTGGATTATAGCTGCTCTTATTGGGGGTGGGATGGGGAGAGTAGGTGACTATGTGAGACGACTGTGTTTCTCTATAGTAATCATTTTCCTATATATGTACCTTAATTAAAAAAAAAAAAAACTGGGGAAAGAGGTCTGACTGGAGAAATGCATTTGGGAGGCACAGGCCGAGTATGTATAGCCAGAAGACCCAGGAGACCTCCCAGGGGGCAGGTAGGAAAGAGAAGCAAGAGCTGAGCCATGTGTCTCCCCATCATTGGCTGAGCTTCCTCTTCACACCTTCACACTCTTTGGACTTTTTCTTTCTTATTTACTTTTGTTTTTTGTGGACCTGAGGCACCTCCTAGGCAAGAGAATGACAGTCGTAACTTTTGCTATTGACATGTGCCTTTCTTGACCTACAGGATTTCTAAGAATCACTGCAACACTAAGGTGGGTCCCATCACCTTCCTTTTCTAGGTAGGAACACACACAAGTGTAGAGAGGTCCAATGCTCTGCCCTAAGTCACAGCTGCAAGGAGGCGGGGCGGGGGGTGCGGTATTGCAGTCTACCTTGTGCAGGCCCCAACAGCCCACACTCTTCCCATAAGTTTTTCTGTGAGCCACCAGGGCCAATGACTATAAGCAGCTTCCCTCTGACGGCCATCTCCATAAACCAGTGTTTCCCACAAGACTCCCAGGAAACACAGTGGAGAAACAGAGTAGGAGGCTCAGATCCTAATCCCTACAACCTGTAAAGGGAGCATTTACTAAATGTATGTAAAGGGAGCATATACTAAAAACCAATGAATAGTACACTTTTAAAAAGTAAAGTTTATGGTATATGAACTATGGCGCATATAAAGCTGGCAAAAGGATCTTTGCAATTGTGATCAAGTTAGGGAACTCAAGATGGAGAGATTACTGTGGATTACTTGAGTAGACATAAATGCAATTACAAGTATCACAACAGAAGGAGATTTGACAGACACAAAGGAGAAGGCAATGTGACCACAAAGGCAGAGAAGGATCAGAGGGATGCAGTCGAGGCCAGGCAGTCACCAGAAGCTGCAGAAAAGAAGAAAGGAAGAGATTCTCCCCCTGTCCCCCTAGAGGGAGTGCAGCTCTGCCCACATCTTGACTTTAGGACAATGAAACTGATTTCCCATTTCTGGCCTCCATTCTGGGAAAGAATCCATTTCCGTTTCTTGAAACCACATTATTTCTGGTAATTTATTACAGAAGCCTCAGGAAGCCATGCTTATTCCAAGGATACACACCCAGAAAGTTGGATAATAGGTCTGCTTTGTTGACAGGCAGGCAGAGTGATTCTGATAGACAACCTATGCACCACACCGCCCAACTGCCCAGGCAGAGACTCATAGGGAAGAACTTAAACCCTTCAACTAGAGGAACTTAGGCTGGACTTCTTTCCTCCATAGAACCCAGAGTTGAATTTCAGAGGGGTCCCCACATTGCTAAAGATTGAGAAATTTTTCAAGGATGAGGTTTTCTTCAGATTCTCAAAGGAGTCACCACACTGCCTAGATGTATAAACCTGGTCCAGGCTGGCAGGGACAAAAATAAAGCAATTTTAAAGTTTTGCCCAGACTGTGAGAAACTTGAGTTTTGCATTTTCTTCCTATTAATTTAACTTCATCATGCCTCCACTGGTATTCATTTTATATAACTTCCTTTTAATCATTTTATTATTATCATTTTGGTCCCATTTGGTTAATAACATATTTCACATGTTGAACATCTCTCTGCTGCTGGACTGTAAGCTTCATGAAGGTAGGGAACCACTGTTTTTCTCAACAATATGTCCCGAGCTCCTAGCACAATACCTGTTTTAGTCCATTCTGGCTGCTATAGCACAATACCCTAGGCTGTATGGTTTATAAACAGCATAAATTTAATTCTCACAGTTGTTGAGACTAGAAAGTTCAAGATCAAGGCACCAGCAGGGTTGCTATCCAATAAGAGCATGCTTTCTGGATCATAAATGGTGACTTCTAGCTGTGTCTGCTCTCATGATCCAATCACCTCCTAAGGGTGCCACCTCCTATCCAATTGATGATTAGGTTTCAATATATGGAATTTAAGGAGATGCAAATATTCAGACCCCAGCAATGCCTAAGACACCACATAGTGTTTCATTTCTCCTATGAGTGATCATAACTTTTAAAAAATGAATGGACCAACAAAGTAGTGTAGCCACTTTGGAAAACATTCTGTTTCTCAAAACATTCAACATAAACTTACCATATGATCCAGTAATTGCACTCCTAGATATATACCCAAGTAGAAATGAAAACATGTCCCACAAAAAAATCCTACACAAAAGTTCATAGCAGCATTGTTCATAATCTCCATAATTTCCAGAAAAAAAAAGCCCATCAACTGATGCATGGATAAATAAAATGTGATATATCTATACAATGTATTACTATTCAGTCCACAACAAGGAATGTGGCTAATACATATTACAACATTGATAAAACTCAGAAACATGCTAAGTGAAAGAAGCTGGTCCCAAATAGGTCAACACTGAATGACTGCAGTCATATGGAATGTCCAGAATTGTTAAGAAACAGGTTTATGATCCCTAAAGTAGGAGAGTTGAGGAGAAATGTAGAGTACTTCTAGGTAGGTGTTAGGAAGGAGTAATGAAAATGTTCTAAAACTAGTTAGTGGTGTTGATTGCCCGACTCTGGATATACTAAAAACCAATGAATAGTACACTTTTAAAAAGTAAAGTTTATGATATATGAACTATGGCGCATATAAAGCTGTCATTTTTTAAAATGAAATGATAGTCACGTCCTGCTTTAAGCAAACTTACTAAAATCAATAAGGAAATTTAAAAATTATAGCAATGTGTTTTCAAGAAAAACAGCCTTTGTTTTTCGTGCAGCAGTGTGACTATGGGAAGGGGCAGATTCCAAAGAGACTCCGCTCCTAGGCTGTGGTCTGGATGATGTCCCTTGGGGCGGGCGACTGGAAGTGGGCAAAGGTGAAGTTGACAGCTGTGGAAAGAGCTGAGAGGAGGATGTCGGGGTGGTTGAATCCCGGTGCGTTTGCTCTTTCTTCCCGTTTCCCACCCACTCTTTGTATTGCACCCTTTTAACAACGGGGACCAAGGCCCGCTCACCTCGGGTTGCCAGCTCCCAAGCGCTTCTCCAGGACAAGGGTGTGTATTGTTTGGTTCAGAAAATGTGAATTAGTGAAGGGACGAGGTGCGTTAAGACACCCTGCCGAAGCTCGGCCCGCCCTCAGCCAGCCTGCCGGTCCCGTCCGGCTGCGGGACTCGGGCTGGGTGGCTGCGAAGAGTCTGCGGGGCTCGGGCGCCAAGGCGGAGTGGCGGGGGCGGGGACCACAGCCTTTGTGCGGAGGCTTCTCCGGCTCCCGCCGCTGGGGGGCGGCCTGCACCCCGCCGACCCCCGACAATAGCGCGAGGGTGGGGAGCCGTGCGGTCCCGGAAACTTTCCCCGGGTGTCGCCGTGGCCGCGCGCGCCCGGGAGCGCGGAGCGGGGCGCGCCCACCTCTGCCGCGGCGGCCGAGGGGAGCCTGGAGAAGGGTGCGCAGGCGGCGCCCCGGCTGCCCGCAGCGGAGGAGGCTGGAGCTCCGGCCGGGCGGTGCGCGCCCAGCGGTGCCATGGGGGAGGCGCCCAGCTCCGCGCCCTCGCCTGCGCTCTGGGACTGGGACTACCTGGACCACTGCTTCGCCCGCCACCGCGTCTGCATCTCCTTTGGCCTGTGGATCTGCGCCTCCTCCTGCTGGATCGCCGCCCACGCGCTGTAATGGGGCCGGGACCCGCGCGAGGGGGTGGCGGTCTGTAGTGGGGGGATTGGCGTTACCTTCCTGCTAGTCCCTCTTGGAAACCCACAGGAAGGAGTATTAAAGGGGGGCGGGCGGAGGAGGCAGCACAAATCCGGGATCAAATCTATCATTTCTCTACGAACTGAAGTCGGATACTTCTTTCCGGATTCCACGCACAAGGAACCTGGGCTGTGAGCCAGCAGGAGGAGGCTGGGTAGTGCAGTGACTGGGGCCCCGACTGGGTTCTATTGTCAGCTCTTAAAACTGACTCACAGCGTGAGCTGAAGGAGTTATAAAGACTTTGGGCCTCTTGTGAATGGCAATAATTCATCATAAGATGGATGGGAGGATGAAATGAGGCAGTACAGGGAAAGCACTTAGTAAGTGCTCATTAAACACCATTATCACTCCAGCTCTGCCATCAATCCCTGGGGGCCTTGCCAGGTTCTTTGATGTTTCTGGCCACAGTTTACCCAGAGCTCTCCTAGCTGCTGTGCAGTGGGGATGGTGATGACCAGACTCTGGCTACAGCTTTTGCCTTTGTCTGTGTAGCACCTTTAGTGTTTTGGCCAGTGGTCAGGGTAGCCTGGGTTCTATGGGTGAAGCCTCCAAATCTTTAGCCACTCTGTCCTGGGCAAAGAAATCCAGAGGCAGTGCCAGGATAGAGCTGCCAAGTATTCCCTGGTAGGGGAGAATGGACCAGCAATCTCCAAGAGTGAATGGAACCAGCTCACCCTAGAACTGCTCTCAGACACTTGATAATGCTCCCAGTGACTGGAACAAAATAAAAGACTGTGGGCTTAATGCTGTACCATTCACTCACCCTATCCCTGCCACACCCCATGAGGTAGGCACTGTAACTGCACTTACAGAGGAGGAACCTGAGTTTCTGAGAGAACAAAGCACCAGCTCCTATTACAAAGGGCAGACTTGTGAGGACTGAACTGTGGATCAGAGAATGGGAACTCAGGAGACCCTGCTTCATGATTACCTTTGCTCCACGCAGTCACCCTCTGAGGTCAGCGCTGTTAGGCATTTTACCCACATGGAGGCCAAGGCTTGGAGAGGTTAAGGAACTCCCTTGAGAATGTCCAGCTGGCCAGTCTGAGAGTAGGGCCTCTGCATTCTCACCCTGCCTGGAGCTGAACCTGTCTGTTCTCGGGACCCCGCCAACCCGAACCTCCAGCTGTCTTAGGGTAATGTGTGTGGCCATGCGGTATGTGGCCTGGTCAAGGATCTCTGGCCCCTGAAGCTGGAGAATGGCTGAGAGCAACAGGGTACAGAGCAAGGCCTTTACACAGGAAGCCTGAAGGCCTGCCGTCAGCCTGCCTTGTCAGCATAGGCCTCACTTTGCTCCTCTCTCAAATGGGAGGGTTGAAGTAAATTATTTCTCATTTGGCTCCAACTCTGAGAGTCCCTAATTTGAAAGTCCTAACTCCTTGGCCTTGAATTGGTTTCAGGATCCAGAGCCCAGGTTAAGGGTGGATGTTCCCACTATGAGCTTTGGGTTTGGGCTGGTGGGTCAGGAAACATTTAGGAACCCAACAGCCTTCCATCCCCATCCATCATTCCCAAGGACTGAAGCTCAGAACCTCACAGTAGGGAATGGGTACTAACTTCTGGTTAAAGGAAATGAAACCAGAGCTGTTGTCAAGCCTCAGTTTTCCCCAGAAATGTAACAAGGAAACATCTAGAACAAATCATGTCAGAGACCCAGTCAGTGATCCTGCCAGAGAGACCACTGGGCCCTTCCATCCTGTCCTGCCCTTCTGGTTGTGTTCCTGGGCATGTCGGGGACTGAAAGAGCCCTAGGCAGAGAAGCTGGTAGCAGCTGAGGATCTAGGTGGAGGGGAGGGCAGCCCAAAGTGCTGGGTAAAGAACATGCTCAGGTTGGACACAGGCCAGCCGAGGCCAGCCACCCAGTGGCAGGGATGGATCGGAATTTCATTTCGATTCCAAAGAAACAAGTGTCTTTTCTTTTTCTTTTTCTTTCTTTCTTTTTTTTTTTTTTTCTTGGCAATATTGAACCCAGGTATCTGCAAATGTTGGGCACATACTGAGTATTGAACCAGGTCTTTGCATAGGTTAGGCACCTAGCTACCTCTACCTCCCCAGCCTGTTTTAAGTATTATTTTGAGACAGAACCTTGCTAAATTGCTGAGGTTGACCCCGAACTTGTGATCCTCCTGCCTCCGCCTCTCGAATCGTTGGGATTACAAGCTTGCACCCCTGCATCTGGCCAAGTTATCTTTTTAATTTATGCAGTTATCTCTGCAGTTAGAGCAGTGCTTAGGTGACTTCTTGCTTCCCTTTTAGAAAGTAAAACCCAAGAGCCAGCTTGTCAGGGTGGAGAGGTGGCTCATTACATGGATTTGACCTGATTTGGAGGAGGAAAGTCACCCTCTTCATTAGAAGGCGGTGGTGTCTCCATGTGGGTGAGCTCTGGTACCAGGGATCAAACCCAGGCCCTCAAGCATGGAGGCAAGTGCTCTGCCACGGAGCTGCTCCCCAGCCCTGGCCTGGGCTTCTTGACCAGAGGCTCAGTGTTCTTCTGATCTTTTCTTCCCCGTCTGTAAAGTCAGTCCAGAAACGCCTACTGCGTACCTAGGGGAGAAAGTGCTTCATAGAGACGCAGAGTCACGTTGCCCTTTTTAGACATCTACTGAGACTCACTGCTCCTGTGTTCTGTGCACACCCCGTCACTCCAGGCTTCTCTACCTGAGATGTACAAAGAAACATGGGCAGGGTCAGTCCCCACTGTGCGCCGCCTGCTGCCTCCTGACCAGCCTGTGCGACACTGTTGGGGCAATTCTGGCCAGACAGCTCACGATCCAGGTATGTTGGGCCCCACGTGGTGGCAGCCACAGTGGCTTCTGTTTTCTTCCTTCCACCGCAAGGCAGTTCCCCCTCAGGGCCTGTGTCCTTCTGATCCTTCTAGCGCCCATCAAATGCTCTTCTCCCTGATGTCCATGTGGCTCACCACTGACTTCCTTCAAGTGTCTGCTGAAAGTCATCTTCAAAATAAGTCCCCCAACCCCCCGTGTAGAATCATAACCCACCTCCTCCTCCAGCAGTCCAGGGCCCCTCATCCTGCGCTATTTTTTCCACAGCTTAACCCCTCATTCACCACATACTTACCTTTATTGCTCATTGTCCATTAGCCCCACCAGAAAATCAGCTTCACAAGGCAAGGAGTTCTTTACCACCTTACCCACCACTTCAGAAAGCTTATAGTAGATGCTCAATAAATAGTTATTATGGTTGTTACGGTTTTTAAAGCTCTGAGCCCATCCCCAGCTGACTCAAGGGCAGCTGAATCCTTTCCCAGCTGCTTATGCGGGCTTTGGAGCAAGTGAGAAGCCATCTCTAGTTTCCCGAAAGTCAGGCCCTCACACAAACCTCTGTAGAAACGTCCTATCTGCAAACATCTCCTAAGGAAGACTTGCTGGGTCCCACTGCAGGGACCTCATGGGCCTTGTGCCCACCAAGGTGGAAGTAAAGGAGGTGACCTAGTGGTCAGGACACAGGTTGCGAGACTTCTAGGCCCTGCTTTGAGCAGTGTTCTCTCAGAAGTAAACCCCTTTTTTTATGGGTGCTCATTCCATAGAATGAGGCCCCATTCAAGTCCAAAGATAATAACTAATGTTTACTAGATACTTAACTATATCCTTTCATGTATTACCTATTTAATCCTCAGACTCTCCTCTGGCATGTGCTCATCTCCCCCCTTCTATATAGGTGGAAACGGAGGCATCAAGACATTAAATAATTTCTGAAAGGTCACCAGCCAATAAGTAGTGTCAGGATTCCAACTCCACCACGCGGGCTCCTAACCTAAGTGTACTGTCGTAGTCACTGGCACCTTTGTAGGTCCTTTACTCTCTCCAGGCGCTGTTCTAAGCACTTTCCACCAATTATCTCAAGAAATCTTCTCAACAGGTTTTGGGGAGGCTCTGTTATGCCTGTTTCACAGGTGGGAAAACTGAGGTTCAGGGAGATCAGTGGTTGGGCCATAGTTAGACAGCCATGGAATGTGTGCGGAGCGAAGCAAAGGGCTGGGTTCTTGTCCTATTTCCACCTGTGGGCATCTGTGTAACTTGGGGTCAGTTGTTGGAGGACGCTCCATGTGCTCAAACATGGGTGGGAGGGATCACTGGACTGATTATACTGGGGCAGGGGGTCTTGGGCTGATAGCCACCATAATTGCTGGGAAAAGACGCTCGAATGCCAAGACTGTTTCCGTCTGCCCCCAGGTTTTCAGTGGTGCCTACCTAGCCACTATTGACTTAGCCAACTTCATGTTCATCCTCTTCCCAGTCTGTGGATCCAAATTCAAGTCTCATTCGGGTGAGCATGTGGCCGTGTGCTCCTGTCTTCATTCAAACATTCATTCATCAGTTGGCTTGGTGTCTGCTGCTTGTCACACCCTGAACTGGGCCCCAGGCAGGCACAGACAAATGAACGAGGTCCTTGACATCTGCCAGATGAGACAGCCAGGGCCCTAAGCTAGTCTCTAATCACTAGTGTCAGCTTGGAGATGTGTGCACACTGTGGGCAACCAGAGGGAGGGAACTGGCTGCAGGTATCAGGGAAGCGCTCAATATGGAACTGGGAGCCCAGGAAGGGGCAGTCAGGTGAGCAGAACAGCCTGGGCCAGGGCTAGGAGCAGGGATGAACAGCACATAAGTCTGGGTAGCCAAGCAAAGCCCCCAAACTTCTGTAAATGGATACCAGAAAAAGTTTGGACCAGCCCTAGCAGAACAGGGTCTGGAATGACTGAGATGGACAAGGAGCCCTGAATATGTGAGACTGATGGTTCCTGAGAAGGGATATCCGTGTGCTGGGGTCCCTGTTCAAATGAGGGTTTGCTTGTCCCAGTGAGGGATATACCGTGCCCCCAGCTGCTCCATGCTGCCTAGAGGAGAAGTGTTCTTAGATGCTCAGAGGAGTGTGTGTCTTAGATCTCAAGTAAACTGTCAAAGACTTTTCTTGTTGCTGTTTGCCCTGCTTATCATGCACGAGCCTGGTATAGACTGTTCATTCATGGGTGCATTCATGAAACTTGGCCCAGTTCTGCTCTGTGCAGATTATGGAAATGACCAGGGCATGGTGTCCATCCTTGAAGTGAAGGGCACCAATTGTTAGGGGAAGAGGGAAGGCATCTCAAAGAGGTGGCCTAACCCCAGGGGCTTGAGGTGGGAAGGACCTGGCTGCAGCACAACATGCCAGCTCTTCCCATGCAGCCACCTGGCAAGTTCTAGGTTCCAGAAGACACATGGGATTTTGGTGTCTCTTGTAGGCCGACACACCAGAAAGAGGAAGAGGAGGAAGCAGCTCAGAGCTGGCGTATTTGCCCTGGCTCTGCCACTGAGCCTGGGCCCAGGCTGGGCTCTCTGGGCTGCTGTTCCAAAGGCTTCAGCTCTGGTCCGGGGGCCCCAGCGGAGGCTGCTGGGAAGCCTGCTGCAGGTGAGGCTGAGCCCCCTCAGTGAGCACACAGGGTAGGGAAGGTTGCCTCACTCCTTGGGGTCCCTGCTTGCTGAATGCCCTGGGTGCGTTGGGAGTGGGGTTGGGGGCCAGTGAGCCCTTGCCATTTTGGGAAGGAAACTTCTAAAAGCAGAAAAGTGCCCATCAGGTTCTTCTGCTTCTTGGGACACATGGATGATCCCATAGAATGCTGAGAATGTCATCTATTCTTGCAGGAAAATACCGAAGTCCTCGGCTACCTGCTGGGTGTCATTGCTGCCTTGGGCGCCTGGGCCTCTCGGATACCCCCACTCTCCAGAATCGTGAGGCTGGGGTGGGGCTGGGGCTATAGGTCATGTGGCAGGTTCCAGGACACAGGGAGCATCCTGGAGGCTCCAGGTCATCCTGGAGCTGTGGTGTCACTGTGCATGTGACACACATGCACTTACATTTCTCTGAAGAGCTACAACAAATGACAGAAGTGAGGGTGTGTATACAGGGAGTGGGCAGCTGAGCCAGGGCGTCCTGAGGCCATCTGGGGGCTCTGATGGAAGGCCCACTGTGTTCTTTCCCATTTCTTTCCCTTTCTTCTTTTTTTTTAATGGTCCTGAGGCTTCATTCATGCTAGGCAAGCTAGGCAGGTACTTTACTACTGAGCGACATCCACAGCCCTTTTTATTTTGAGTAGGAGTCTAAGTTGCCCAGGCTGGCCTTGAACTTCAGGCCTCCTGCTGCAGGCTCTCGAGTCACTGGGATTATAGACGTGTGCTATCACACCAGCCTGTTTCCCATTTCTTATAGCCAAGGAAAAGCAGACGAGGGAAAAGCCACTGGGCTGGAACAAACAAGGGTCCCTCTCAAGTGCAAAGGGCCTAGAGGTCAGGTGCATTCAGCTCCTAGGGCTCTGTAGTCCCAGAGCATCTTATTAGCAGATGTTTTGCAAGTATCTGGGGTGAAGGAAGCCCTGCTGGCCAGTCCTGTTGGGAGTACAGATGTGAGGTGTCCTTGAAGAGCTCATAGTCTCATCAGGGACAGAATGTGCAACAAGATATTTTAGTGCTCTAAGAAAGGTAGAAAGGAAGGTTTGGTATTTTGGAAGACGAGGGAGAAGGCTCCTAAGCAGTTCTAGCAAGCAAAGAGGAAACCATCCCCGCTGCCAGGCTGTGAGCAGTAGAGAGCTCTCATGGGGGCTCAGAGGGGAGAGTGGGATATGAGGCAGCAGAGGTGAGGGAAGGACAGTTGGGCAGAGGAAGAGGTACAGGAACGTCACCATTCACAGAGCCTGAGAAGGGCAAGCTCCAGAGCTGGTGTGAAAACTGCTCTGCCAGGTGTTCTTGGCAGGCTCTGACACAGGTGTTCCTGTCTCAGGAACAGCGCCAATGCTAACTCCATGAAATGTAGGAGGCCCATCATGGGGCCTAAAAAGGATCAAAGCCCAGAAGCACCATGTTTTGTTAATATATTCTTTGTTGTTAATGGACTTTATTTATTTATATGTGGTGCTGAGAATCAAACTCAGAGCCTCAAACATGCTAGACAAGTGCTCTACCACTGAGCCACAACCCCAGCCCAAGCACCATGTTTTAATAACAGAAGGGAACAGGATTCAAGGATGGAGGTAGGGACTGGGGACTGGTGCTCATTTGCCTGAAGGTTTAGTCCCTTGCTAAAGGCCAGAAACACCCCAGGGTATGACCTCACCAGCAGGTGTCCCGGCTTCAGACTTAAGAGGGGAAACAGGGAGCCCTGGGCTTAGTCCACTTGGTGGGTCTCCAGGGTGGCCTGGGGACTGGGGAGCCCCACTGCAGAAGACCTTTGACGGAGCCAGGACAGCACCCTGACTGCCTGTGGTGTTCCCTAGGGCCACAGTGGGGCCTTCAGGATGGGGAACCCCAAGGCCTCCAGTTCCAGCTGCCCTGCTGCCTGTCTGAGGTGGGAAGGCCCATGGGAAAGGGCCTCAGCCTCTGGGGCAGGGGCCAAGCCCACCCCTCCTGGCCAGGTACTCTGTACCTGACTGTGCTGTCTTGATTCACCAGTCTCCAGTGGATTGTGGCCAGAAACAGGCCCTGGAGCAAAAGTAGATGAAATGCAGACACATTCATGAGGATTCTTTTTGAGAACTAAAATGGGAGGAAATTGGCCCAAACATGCTCTTCCCTGCATTTTTTCCCATTCCTTAGCCAAGTCACAATGCCTCTAAATATGGTCATCTAGTAAAAATACTATACATAAATAGAAGTAATTTAAAATATGTAATTTTATCCAATTAATAGTTTTGTGGACATGCATATATATTATCTAGATAGATAGATAGATATAGATAGATATATGGTGGCTCAGTACCTGTAAAGGCTACTTACATGTAAATATTGCATGTTTCTTGTTTTTGAACCAATATGTTTCCATTACTAGTTCTGCAGAAATGTCCCCTTGGCTACTACCTCTCATTTTCCTGACCTTTTCTATTTGTCCTGGTTCAAAGTTGGGGGTCCCAGCAGGAGAAGGGTGGGTGTGGTGTTTTATAACTCAGTCTCACCCCTACATTAGCTGCATTAGCTGGCAGTCACGAAGTCCTGCAGTCCAGCCTCAGGAGCAGGGGCACTGAGATGGCAAGGACCCTGCACAGAGCTCTGTGAATGTGTAAAGAGTGAAGTCATGCTCAGCAAAGGCACTCTGCCAGGGGATGGGTCTAGTGTGACAGGGCCCAGAAGAAAGGGTTCCTTGCTCCCCCTCTGGTGGAAGGGCCCAGGGAAGGTTTCCTAGAGTTTAGTTTAAGCCAGGTTTTGAGGGATGCGTAGGAGTTTGTGAGGCAAAGGAAGCAGCTTGAGCAAAAGCTGAAAGCCAAACAGAGGCAGCACGGCCCCTGGAGAGTGGCTGGGGTGGAGGGCTTGCCCCGGGCCACCTGCTGTGCCACCAAGGGTCCTGGGCCTCAGGATCTGGGGTTCCCCTGCCACTCCCCTCCTCTCTCTCTCTGCCCAGTGCCGGGGGAAGTCATTCTCCTACATCCACCTGTGGACACGGCTGCTGTCCGCCCTGGCGGGCCTCCTCTACGCCTCAGCCATTGTGGCCCATGACCGGCAGCCCGAGTACCTGCTTCGGGCTACACCCTGGTTCCTGACCTCCCTTGGCCGTGCTGCTCTGGACCTTGCTGTATCCACCCTACACCCCATGGGTGGGGGAGGGGGGAGCTGATTGCAGCCAGAGGAGGCCTGTGTCTCACCCCCATACTCCCTCCTTCCCTCAGATGGGGTGGTTTGAAGCCTGGGACAGGCAGGCACAAATGCGATTATTTGTGGTTTGGTGCTTCCCCTTTTTAAAACAAGAAGAATTTATCTCCTGGTTGGGGCTCTCTGTAACAGCAAAGAGGAGTGGCAGGCTCCTGGCCCTGAGGTCAGAAGCCCCAGGTGCCAGGCTCAGTTCAGCTCCCCAGGGAGCATCTCCTCCGGATTGGTGCCACTCTCACCACTCCCATGAGCCCTGATCCCAGCCTTTCTCCCAGCCCTGCAGGCCCTTCTCAGGGAGTTGCTCCCTTTCTGCTCTGCTCTCTGGAGCTGGAGTCTGTGGTGCAGGAGCAAGGATCAAAGCTGACAAATGCTGCATCTGTTGGTGACTGCAGAGCGCCTTTCTGGTTCTCCAGGTGTGCCTGATGTGCTGGTACCCAGGTGACCTTGACATGAGCGCTTCAAGGGCAAGCTAAACTCGGGCAGTGGACTGCAGGTTTGCTGGGGTCGAGGGCAGTGGTGACGGAGTGCGAATAACCCAGCAGGGTGGTCCCTGAGGTTGAAGGCTCTGGGGAGACTCTTCCCTTGCCTCTCCCAGCTTCTGTAGCCCCTTGGCTTGTGGCCTCATCATCTTGGTTTCTGCCTGTATCTTCATATAGCCTTCATTTCTTCATGCATCTCTGGTGTCCTCTCTTCTTATAAGGACTGTGGTCATTAGATGTTAAGACCCACCCCAATCCACTGCGGCTTCCTCTTAAATGATTTCATCAGCAAAGACCCTACTTGCAAATTAAGGTCATATTCTAAGCTCCAGATGGATATGAATTTTCAAGAGACACTTGCAACCCACTTTATGTTCTGTCACTGAGAGCCAGTCAGGAAAGATGTTTTTCAAAATGTTTTTGTTTAATGAGTGTTTGCCAGGGGCAGGAGTGCAGAGAGAGACCTGACCCAGATGAGCACTCATCTGGGGACAGACAGGCAGGATAATTCTGGGAAAGGAAGGGACAGGAGCCCAGGGTGAGCAGGATGGAGCAGGGGCTGCTGGGGAGGGTGCATGTGGTGTGAGGGGCAGTGCCGGGCAGCCGGAAGCTTTCCACTTCCTTGTCCCTTAACTTCCAAATCTCAGATCATCTTCCTTTCGTGTGTGATGAAGAGCAAGATGAGGCAAGCCTTAGGATTCTCCACAGAAGCCAGAGAGAGCCCCGACACCCAGGCCCTTCTGACCTGTGCAGAGGAGGAGGGAGAGAACCAAGAGGCTGGGACCAAGGACAAGGTCTCTCCTGGGAAAACCTCTGGCCCCACAGAAGTGTTTACTAGCTGGAGAGTCAGAGAGCCTCGCAGAGGGCTGGGCTTGGGAACTCTGGAAGTCCTTCCACCATTGGCCAGCTGGTCACTTAAAAAGCTGCTGTTTCTGTCCAAGGATAAGTGACCCCAAATGCAATGGAATCCTTTATCTTCCCAGTTTTAAAAGTGTATCAAGTTTATTTAGTGATATACTTTTAACAATGTAGGTGTAATAGTCAAATATCCACTTCCATTATTTGGTAACAAATGAACTCACAACTACGGCGCCAATCCATGTATTAGTTTCACAATTTGATTTCCATTCATATTTTATAAAAATATGTCTGCCCACTTTCATATGGCTCTTTGAGATCCATATCATCACCCCCACAAGACACAGTGTTCCAGAGCCCATCACCATACCAAGCCGTTTGGTCTGGACTTTGTGAGAATCTGTGTGCAGTGCTGACTCTAGAAATTTGTCTTAAGCCATAATGACCATGTGCTATTTGTGATCACTGCACTGTAACCACACTACACTTTAGTTGATATTACTAAAAAACTGATCTTCAGAAGTTTCATTTACAATAATGACCACCATTTATGATTTTGTTATACCACTAGTAACTTATTATGTCTGAAACAAATGTTTGTTTCCTTCACATGTGTTTGTTACTAGGGAATAACACTCTACCACTGAGCCACATCCCCAGCCTTTTTTGAGACAAGGTCTTGCTAAGTTGCTCTGGCTGGCCTTGAACTTGTGATCCTTCTGCCTTTTTTTTTGGTGGTGGTGCTGAGGATTGAATCCAGGACTTCACACATTCAAGGCAGGAGCTCCACCACTGAGCTGTGCCCCAGACTTTTGCCTCCATTTTTAATAATTCAATCATGTAACCTCTACAAGTAGCCAGAACTTATTCTAATTAAGGCAATTTGTCTTCATCAAAAGAACTTGATTCTAAAGAGTCGAGACAGTAACCCATAATACAGGAAAACTTGTAAGGACTTAAATATAAGTCAGCTCCCTCTTTACTAATTTTTTTTGGGGGGAAATATTTTTGCCTGTTACCTGAGCTACCTTAGGTTCTTCTCAGAGAGAGTGGGAATGAGACTGTGAGCCAATATCCTTTGTGGCCAGGAAGAAGGAAGAGGGAGGTGGACAGTGGGTGTATTTGAACAGGTAAAAAGTAAAGCTGCTCCTTGGAGTATTTCAGGCTTACCATTGTGATCTGAGTTAATAGCTAGAAGACAATGGTGTATATGACAAAGGTAAAAGCCTTTTCTTTAGGCTTTACGAAGCTCCTAAGCGGAAGTTACTTTCATTCTATTCCAGCATGGGGTATGAAATCATACCCCAAAAGGAAAGCCAAGGATGTAAAGTTCTGCATGTCTGAGTATTCTGAATAGAGAAGTAGAAACCTTTGGAATCTCGCAGCAATCCTTGGCAGCAGTGATTCTCAAAGTGTGGTCCCTGGACCAGTCTCACCTGCTAACCTGTTAGGAATGAAAATTCTAGGGCTCTGGTGGAGTCCAGCAATCTGTATTTTAACAAGCTCATGCTAAAGATTGAGAACCCCTGCTTTACAAAAGCATTTTTTTTTTATTTCCAGTACTGGGGATTGAACCTGGGAATACTCTATCATTGAGCTGTGTTCCAGCCCTTTTAACTTTTTATGTTGATATCATCTCTTGCTAGGTCATTGATGCTGACCTGGAACTTGTGATCCTCCTGCCTCAGCTTCCCAAGTAGCTGGGATCATAGGCACGCACCACTGTGCCCAGTTTACAAACGCATTATTTAACACCACTGCAGTGAATCCCAAATTCTGCAGCCCATTAGAACCACCTAGGAAGCTACCCAGCCCCAGGTTCCATCCCATGCCAATTAAATCAGAATGTCCTTGGGTGGCAACTAAGCACCAGTGTGTTGCTTTTTAAGATCCCTAACTGATTTCATTGCACTGCAAAATTTAGGAACCACTGGCCCAGGGGTGACCTCAGTAGAGAGCACATCTTACAGGGAGCCAAAAAGTGAAATTGTACCTTAAAAACAAACAAAATGCCCTAGGCGTTCCTTTAAATAAAATGGGGACCTCATTTCTAGAAAATCCCTTCTGACTTTAAAATTTCTTTCTCCCTGTCTCCACTTGAAAGACTTCAGATTGGGTGCCACTCACCACCCTGTCACACTGCAAGTCACTGAAGACGATGGCAGCAATCAGTCATTACATGGAGCTGACCGTCGAACCTATACAGCAGGTGAGTGGCCAGCCTGGGCCATGGCTAAGTGTCCATAAGGGTGGGAATTAGTCCTGGAAGGCTTCCTGGAGGAGATGATACTTTAGCTGATAGGAACCATGTGAAAAAGGATCTCTCCAAGGTTGCAGGTGGGACAGCTGGAGGGGAGCAGAGTGGAGGAAAAAGGCTTTTCCTCTACCCTCTTAGGTATAATGGCTGAGGATTATGAATCAAACCAACAAAAGACAGAAATGAGTAAGAGAGAGCACATTTTAGCTACTTGTATGCGGAAGTTCACGAAAAAAAACTATGGCAGGAAAAGGGGTTTGGGGCTTCTGGCGCTGGGGAGCAAGTTAAGAAAGACAAGGGAGGAAGTGTATGGTGATTAAGGGTTGTCTTGTTAATGCAACAAGTCTCTAGTGGTGAGAGTTGTCTCTGGAAGTGGCTCTTTTCCCAGGGAACAAATGTAAGTTTCCTTTGTAAAAATAAATTTCCTTTACAAGGAACATTTATATCCATGGGTTCTACATCCTTGATTAATTCACTATAGATCAAAGATATTTGAAAAAAAAAAAGTATTTCCATACTGAAGATGTAGTCTTTTTTAGTTGTCATTGTCTCCTAGAGAACATACTATAGCAACCATTTCCATGGCATTTACATTGAATTAGATATTAGGCGTATCTAAGAGATGATGTAGAGCATATGGAGGAGGTGCAAGGGTTATATGCAAATACCACACCATTTAGCCAAAGGAGTTGAGCATCTGAGGGATCCTGAACCACTTCCCCATCGACGCCAAGGGACAACTCTTCTTTACTTGTAGGCAGTTAGGTGCATATCTTCTCCACTTGTGCTGGTTTTCATTTGTGTTTAACTCAAAGTAATCCATATGCCAACGAGGCATATTTGAGGTTCCCTACTCTATTATCCTCCCAGAATAAAGGAGATAAAAAGGTACAGATCCCTACCCAGGGAGGCTAACGATCACCCTGAGGGTGGTGGGAGCCCCACCTGGGAGGCTTCAGTGCTGGACTTAGGTCAGTTGTGCATTTCAGAGCCTCACTGGGCCTTGTTGGGTAAGCAGGAGAGAGTGCCTCAGCCTCCTAAAAGCAGGGCCATCAGCCAGGGCAGTGGTAAGTCCTGGGAAGAGGGGTTTGACTTACACCAAGGCTGCAGCAGGAGAAGCAGAGGTGGAATCGAGAGCTGGGAAGCAGAGTGTGTGAGGGGCCAAGGATGTGGGGTCAAGGGGAAGGAGGGCTCTGGGTGACTCTCAGGGTCCTGGCCCACACTCCAGGTCCTCAGGTGGAAGAGGGTTGAGGAAGAGGGGAGAAGTTCACCCCATTGTCCTACTATTCCAATCAGACTGTTCTTGTCAAGGTCACTAGTGACCTTCCTGTTGCTAAATCCAGTCATTTCTCTTGTGATTTCTGTGGTCCCCGTGTTCCTGGCTTTCCCACCACGCTCATAAGCTAATCCTTCCCCATGGCTTCTGCTGGCTCCTCCCATCAAGCTTGGCTTTAGAGTGGGGGGGCCCCCTTCTGTGGGTGTGCTCTTGAGGACCACAGTCCCAGCTCTTGCTGGCTTCCCTGGTTTGCATCTATGTCCTTTTCCTCTCCACTCAGTTCCAGTCCCAGCTGCCCAGATGCCTGTTTGGTGGCACCACACAGCATCTCACACGTTTGCCTCCAACACAGAATTCTGGATTTCCTGCCTATCCTGGCTTTAATCCCATTTTCCTCATCATGGTAAATGACACCCTTGTCCATGCAGTGGCTCAAGCCAGAAGTTCCTTCTTTGGCCTTGCTACACCCCCATGTCCGCAGTCCATTTATGGCTCCTGTAAATGCTTCCTTTAAAATAAATCTTGAGGGCTCAGGGTATAGTTCTGAGGCAGAGTGCTTGCCTAGCCTGTGCAAGGCCCTGAGTCCCATCCCCAACACAAACAAAATAAAATGAGATGAAATGAAATAATAAAATAGGTCAGCAGCTTCCTAGCTGGTCTGCATCACTACTCCACCTGCACCAGCAGCCAGAGGATCTTATACAAACCTATTACTGTCTTGTCCTTGATTAATACACTCCTCTGGCTTTCCTTTTCATGCAGAATAGAATCTAAACTCCTTTTTTTTTTTTTGGTACCAGGGATTGAACCCCCAGGGGCACTTAACCACTGAGCCACATCCCCAGTCCTTTTTTATATTTTATTTAAAGACAGGGTCTCACTGAGTTGCTTAGAGCCTTGCTAAGAGGCTGGCTTTGAACTTGCAATCCTCCTGCCTCAGCCTCCTGAGCCTCTGGGATTATAGGCGTGCGCCACTGTGCCAGACAAAAATCTAAACTCCTTTCAGAGACTCCCAGGCTCCCCAGGCCCAGGCCACGCCCCCTTTGCTCCCCCTGTTCTCTCCCTGCTTCACTCCTCTCCAGCAGTGCTTCATGGGGTGCCCCACCACAGAGCACACACCAGCCCACCTCGGCTGCTTCTTGCTAATCTTTGTCACCTTCCCCACAGGCCTTCCCCAATCCCCAGACAGAAGTAGCCTCCACTGCTCTGTCCTGTCACTTTGCTATCTCTGGAAGTTCTCTGCAATGCTCTTCCCCCTGCCTCTTACCTTTGTTAGCTGGCCATCTCCTGCTGGGAGGGAACTTTGTCTCCTGTCTTGATGGCTCCCAGTGCCTGTAACCTGGGAATCATGGCCCCTGGGTAAAGGGATGTTTTGAGCGCATGCTCAGCAATGTGGTCCCTGCCCAGCTGCCCAGAGGACACTAGTGCTGGGAGTGAGTTTGGCCTGACCGATAAGCTTTACTCCTGGCCATTGTTGTTCCTCAGATGTTGGATGCAGCCACCCCTGTGTGATAAGCGAAGGTCAGAGTTAGAGCATGCTGTCACAATTAAAGAGTCCACTTCAGCCACAAAACCATCCTTCTGACTATAGGGAGGAGGGTGAGTGGGTTGTGGGAAGCCCTCAGGAGGACACAGGGAACTCTGGTGGCATTTGGCCAAAGCTTTGCACTAGACGATTTTAAATTATGGAACTAACTTCTGAAAAAGAAGCAGTGTGCGAGGCGGGCACGTACTGTGTGGTAGAGAACATGCCTGGCACACACAAGGCCCTGGGTTCCATCCCCAGCACCGCAGAAAAGAAAGGGCAAAAGGTATGTTCACTATAACTGATTCTGTAAGTCAGGGTTGCCTGGGTCCCTGCTAGGGGCGCAGGTTCCTCTTTCATGGGGAGCAATTGAAGCCCCCAGCTGGTTTGAGCTTCTGCTCGCCTCTTCCGTCTGTGTCCACCAGAGGGCGAGACCAGGGGGGAAGCCCAGAGCCTCACAGTCCATCCAGCACCGGCAGAAAGCCCTTCCCGGGGCTCCTAGGCTGGCACTGCAGCCTGCTTACTGAGTGAGGGCTACTTGCCAGGCTCTGAGCAAACAGTAACCATGAAAACTACCTGGTGTGTCTTATAGAATAGAGTGCTGACCTAAATCCTTTACAAAGATTGGCTTTTTTACCCTCATTGTCAACCCTTGAGATATTATTCTCATTTTACACACAAGGAAACTGGGGTACAGAAAGAGTATGCAATTTGCTTAGATCACACAGCTTAATGGTGGTAGATCCAGGATTGAGACCTGCTTCTACCTGAGCTTGTGCCCTGCCCCACTATGCTGCCCATCCTCTAAGTGAGCACCATGGCTGACTCCAAGTAAGTGCTTTATAAACAGTTGTTAATATTAATACAAATTATCACAACAGCCCCAGAAGTAGATACTATTATTAATCTATTTTTTAATCTTAACTAATAATAATTATGTTGAGTCACAGAGCCAAGCATGGTGGTGCACACCTGTACTCCCATCTATACAGAGGCTGAGGCAGAAGGATCATTTGAGCTGGGAGTTCAGTGCCAACCTGGGCAACATAGCTAGACCCAGTCTCCAAAAAAAATCCAGGTGCAGTGGCGCAAGTCTACAATCCCAGCAACTTGGGAGACTGAGGCAAGACAATCATGGCAAGTTCAAGGCCAGCCTCAGCAACTTAGTAGGATCCTGTCTCAAAATAAAGCATCCAAAGGGCTGGGGATATAGCTCAGTGAGAAAGCACCCCTGGGTTCTATCCCAGCACAAAACCAAAACAACAATAATAACAAAAAACTTGAGGCACAAAGAACTTAAGTAACTTACCTAAGATTCCACAGTTAGGAAATCACAGAAACAGGTTTCAGACTAAGCCTATCTGAGTTGGGGGCCTGAGCTTTTATAAAGAGAACACACTTCCTCTGCTGCCATATTGTACCTGCTCAGTGATTTTCTGGTTTTACCTTTTTTCAATGAGATGACCCCAGTGGGCTAGGTTGTGGTGAGACAGGTGCCCAGTTGGTCATATGCACTGACACGGATCCTGTTTGGACAGTCATCTAGAAATGGGTAATAAGGGCCACAGGGATGCTCCTTGTTTTCCCAGCTCTTTGCTAACAAAGAGCTGATCCTAAGGGGAGACTTTGAGGAGGTGCCAGGGGTGCTACTCATCCTTCAGGCCAGGCTTAGAGAGGGGCATAGAGCTTCATAGATCAACTGCCACATTCTTGCTTGGAGCATTTGAAAACTCCGCCTCTTTGTTGACTCGGATGTGGCACGCCCTAGCAGATTATAAGATTTATCCGTGTTGCCAGGGAGCCACCTGCTTCCCCACCTCTGCCCACAGGTTCCTGTTTCAGCACCTTTGCGGGTGAGGAGAGCCGCAGGGCTGGCACCTCACCCATGTTCTTGGGCTGAACACTGAGTGTATTTCTTTGTTTATTTTCTCTGCCTGTTCCAATGACTCACATGACACTGTGCATTTAGCCCATTGAGGGCCAAGCCCTGCTTGATTTGGGGACAAACACTCCCAGGCATTCTTTTCCTATGTCCAGAGCATTTACACAGGGCCCCGTGACACTCCTTCAACAGAGGCCAGGCAGGGATCACCTCCTACTTTGAGAGATCAGGAACCTGAGACTTAGGGCTGATTTCCTTCTGAGGCCCAGAAAGCAGGTGAGCTGCTTCTGTGTCTTGGCCTGGAATGTCTGGACTCCCATGTGACTCTGAAAGCCCAGTGATGGAGTTTCTCTGAACTCTGAGGAAGCCCCCTGTGAGCCCTGCCAGAGAATAAATAGATATCTTTCAGGTTACCTCTTCCCTTACCTCCCAACTCTCCCAAATGCTCTCTCGTATGCTGCCACAGCATGAATAGGTAAGGTAAAGCCTAGATGGAGAGCATTTTTGGCAAGAGCTGACTAAGTCACACATGCACACACCCTTCGATCCACTAATTTTCCCTCTAGGAATTTATCTTCTGAATACCCTGAAATCTTGGATGTCTGGTGGAATTTGCTGCAGTCAGCACTGATTGTAAATGCAAGGGATAAGAGGCACCCTAAACCTTCACCACTAGGGGATTGATGAACAGATGATGAACACCCACAATGGTACCCCCAAGCTCCAAGGCTTCTAAGATAGAACTATCTCAAGGCATATTGTTAAGTAAAAAAAATTTAAGTGTGTAAGAGAATATGAATTGTGCTAGAATTTGTGCAGATGGGAAATGTGTGTGTCTGTGTGTGTGTGAGAGTGTGTAAGATCTGGAAGGACGCAGGAGCTTGGGCACTGGCTGCCTCGGGGTGGTCAAGGGATGATGGTGCCAGGTGACCACTGCACACCCTTTGGACCTTTTAAAACTGAAGTGTGTGGATGCTTCAACAATTCAAAAATGAACTAAAATAAGTGTCCCCACCTGCCCTTTCCCACACACCTTGCAGGCAAGCTGTGGTGCCATGAGACTGCCTGGTGATGGACAGACCAGCACAGGAGACGCGTCACTGCAAGAGCCCCCCTCATACCCTCCCGTTCAGGTCATCCGGGCCCGAGTGTCTTCCAGCAGCTCCTCTGAGGTGTCCTCCATCAACTCAGACCTGGAGGTACAGGGTCTGCCTGCGGGCGGGTGCAGGGGTGTGTCGCTCACCCACACTCACCCTGCCTCCTCCGGCTTGCTGTGCTCTTCTCTGATCTTGCCAGTGAACCTCACCCTGCTGTTAAAGAATGCGCCTCTGCACAGCTGCCAGTCTGCCTGCTGCCAGTCTGCCTGAGGAGCTTCCCAAACCAGCTCGGGACTAAGAAGAAGGCCCCATGGTCAATCTGGTCAGGGGAACACTGGGTTTTGGAGTCTAGTCATCAGGGATCGCTTGCACATTTGAGTCTACAGAAGCAAATGCACAAATAATAAACTAGTTTTTAAAGTCTCAAAAAGTCTTAAAAGCTAGGGGTGTGGCTTGGTGGTAGCGCACTTGTCTAGTGTACACCAGATGCACCAGGCCCTGTTCCAGCCATTGCAAAAAAAAAAGAAGAAAGCCTTTGTGCTTCCCCAGCCCATTTGACCATGGAAGCTTTTCTTTGTCCCAGGGAATGTCAGCTCCTCCTGCCGTGCCAGCACACAGGCTGCACACTTTATTTAGTACCTTTGCTTCATTTTGTATCTGTGAGCAAAACTCATGTCCCATCTTGGATGCACAAGTCTCATGTCTGAGTTGTCCCATAGCTATGGTTTCTGGCCCCATTCAACGAGGAAGTTTCCATTTGTCTGAGGAAAAAAGAGAATGAGGTCGATGTGGTGGCCATGGGCATGTTGGCAGAAGGGGGCCAGCTGTCTCTTTTTGGTGAGGGAAGGACTGTCTTTCTTTCTGATTTTGTGTTCTTCCATCTTTTTTGGTGTTAAGTGCCCTTTTTGAAATGATGGTAATAATAGGTGGTAGTTAGGGTTGAGTTTTGGTTCGGGTTTGGTTCCTACCCTACCTCACCCCACCCCCAGTACTGGGGACCAAACCCAGGGGTGCTCTGCCACTGAGTTGCATCCCCAGCCCTTTCTATTTTGGGACAGGGTCTTCCTAAATTGCTTAAAATGGCATTGAACTTGCTTTCCTCCTGCCTCCAGAGTTCTGGAGATTACAGATGAGTGGTGCTACACCTATTTGGTTTGGTTTTTAATGGCCTCATTTGGCAAAACAATCATTATCTATTCTAAGTTCTCAGATTTATCAAACTTATACTGGACCCTGACATCCAAAACTCAGAGCCACTGATTTGGGATGAAGTCCAGTTCCTTGGTGTGATGTTCTAGCCCTTCTCCATTTGCCCAGCCTCCTGTTCTTCCCTGCCCTCACCCAGCTCTCTGACCTGACCGTGGACTCTTCTTTGTCCCCAGGCCTTTGGGCCTCATCTTTCTAGCCCCATTTCCACGGTTCATAATCCTATCCAGATGCCACCTCCTGGGAGAAACCACCCCATCTGTGGCCTCTTCCACTGAGTGCCCAGAACACACAGTCCCTTACACACCTGTACTTTGGAGTGTGCGTGGTCTGGTGAGCTGTGGAGTGACTGTCATCTTTCTCTATTCCTCAATTCTGGAACACAGTGGGCATGAAGAACTAGGTTGGTGTTAGGACTTCTGTACCCTTTGGGTCATATTTCTGTGTCAGTTCATGTCATATATTTCTTTTTTTTGTTTTTTATTCTAATTTGTTATATATGACAGTAGGATGCATTACAATTCATATTACACATATAGAGCACAATTTTTCATGTCTCTGGTTGTACGCAAAGTAGAATCACACCATTCATGTCTTCATACATGTACTTAGGGTAACAATGTCCTTCTCATTCCACAGTCTTTCCTACCCCTTCCCTTCCCCTCCCTCCCCTTGCCCTATCTAAAGTTTTCCTTCCAGGTCCCCCCCCCACCCCATCCTCATTATGGATCAGCATCCTCATATCAGAGAAAACATTCAGCATTTGGCTTTTGGGGATTGGCTTGCTTCACTTAGCATAATATTCTCCAACTCCATCCATTTACCTGCAAATGCCATGATTTTATTCTCTTTTCATGCTGAGTAATGTTCCATTGTGTATATATACCGCAGCTTCTTTATACATTCATCTACTGAAGGCATCTAAGTTGGTTCCACAGTTTAGCTGTTGTGAATTGTGCTGCTATAAACATTGATGTAGCTGTGTCCCTGTAGATGCTGTTTTTAAGTCCTTTGGGTATAAACCAAGGAGTGGGATACCTGGGTCCAATGGTGGTTCCATTTGAAGTTTTCCAAGGAATCTCCATACTGCTCTCCCTATTGGTTGCACCCATTTGCAGTCCTTCTCCCCCACATCCTCTCCAACACTTATTGTTGTTTGTCTTCATAATAGCTGCCATTCTGACTGGAGTAGTTTTGATTTGCATTTCTCTAATTGCTAGAGATGTTGAACATTTTTTCATATATTTGTTGATTGATTGTATATCATCTTCTCAGAAGTGTCTGTTCAGGTCCTTGGCCCATTTATTGATTGGGTTATTTGTTTTTCTGGTGTTAAGATTTTTGAGTTCTTTATATATCCTAGAGATTAGTGCTCTATCTGATGTGTATGTGGTAAGAACTTGTTCCCAATTAGTAGGCTCTATATTCACCTCACTGACTGTTTCTTTTGCTGAGAAGCTTTTTAGTTTGCATCCATCCTATTTGTTGATTCCTGACTTTATTTCTTGTGCTAGAGGAGTCTTGTTAAGGAAGTCAGGGCCTAATCAGACATGATGAGGATTTGGGCCTACTTTTTCTTCTATTAGGCACAGGGTTTCTGGTTTAAATCTTAAGTCCCTGATCCACTTTGAGTCCATGTCATGTATTTCTTGGATCCAGTCTCAGAACACGTGGGACACCCAGGGTCCACAGCGGTGTCTGCCAAGGCCTAAGGCTAAGGGAGAAGGAATAATCTGGACACTGAATTCATTAAGGAGAAGGGACAGGAAGGCTGCTGAGGGCAGGCTCGGGGGAGAGGCGGGCAGCATTCGCTCTGTGGAAACAGCATTCGCTCTGTGTCTTGCTGCCCACCTTCGGCTGAGGCGAGAACTGAATAGGGAAACTGAAAATTCCGACATCTGTCCTTGTGGCTGGTTTGGCCATTTCTCTGTTTTGCAATCCTTGTTGTTTTACTCTATTTTCTCTCCATTTTTATAAATCTGTTGTTTAAAATATGTCAGTTCCTAGGATACAGGGTCACACTCTTAAATTAAGCCAGTGGAAATGATGCTTTTGTCCATGGTAAAAGGAACAGTCAGAAGCCCAGTCCCCCCGGCCTCTCCCCTGCAGTCTTTCTGCTTCACACCCTAAAACATAAATACACTGTAGACAGGCCACCAGGGTCCTTCCTATAAAGAGATAACCTCACCTTAACCACACACACACTAGCGGATCAAATGGAATTGTGACGCTCCCAGTATTGATTGTTTAGTGTGCGAGCAGGAGGCTGGGTGTGTGATCCATCAGGGCTTCTGTTTTTAAAGTAACACCGCTCACCTGTTCAGGAGGCTGAAGTGAGAGGGTCGCCTGAGCTCTTCAGTTTGAGCCTGAGCAACCGAGTGAGACCCTGTCTCTAAATAAAGAAATAAACGTAATACATGTTTTTGGTATAAAATTTGGAAAACAAAAAAAAGTAAAGAAGAAAATTAAGCCCACTCAACCAATGTGGGACTGGGCATGATGGATATGCCACCTGGGTTTTGGAAGTAGTATTTTTGGAGATCCTGGTTGGCTTGTGGAGAGGAGGGGCTCAGCAGATGGTTAACAAGTCCCCCTCAGCTGGCCATCTGGTGGCTCATTCAGCAGATGTGTTCTGAAGGCCCAAATTGAAAGGGAGAATACCTGAGGACACATAGGCCCCAGCCTGCCCAGCCTGCTTGGTAAATTGGCCACAATCTGATCCTCTGCCTCACGCACACTCCTTTTAGGAGTGTGACAAGATGAAACTGTAGAAATCAATGTCAGGGCTTAGGTATTACTTCTGTGGTTTGTGACTTCTCTTGCAGAATTCACGTATTTCATGGTGTTGGACTCAGGTAACCTAGGGCATCTCTCCCCACTCTTGCCTACCCATGCCTCTGCCCTCTGCCCTGGACTCCACTGAGGTTGGCTTCCGTGGTCTGCCTCTTACTGACCTCCTGGGTTTCTCCTTGACCCTTTGGGTTGACAAGTGAATGCTTCCCGACTCCCACTGTCCAGGCCCAGGGGCCTGGGAGCTATTCTGGACTCAGAGGTGATGTGTCCATCCCCTAAGGTCCTTGATCATCTCATAACTGACCTCTGAGGCCAGGTTTTGATGTCATGTTCTCGGCCGTGTGCCCCTGTCCTGAGCACCACATCCTGCGGTGCGCAGGGGGAGTGGGGGACAGGCGGGTCTCAGCAGCACAGCGTCTCCACACACTCAGTTCACAAAGCGTCTCCAAATCCGTTCGCAAGGAAGTAAGGTGCTTGCCAAAGTGCTGGGCACGGGGTGGTACAGTGAAGACTCACCAGGACTTTGTATAAGCAGCCCTGAAGCAGGAGACTAGGAGTAGAGGAGTTTAATTAGCCACACGAAAATGAGGAGAATAAGGAAAGAAAGGAGAAGAGAAGGCAGATCTGGGGTTTGAACCCAGTGTCATCCACTCTGAAACTTCCCACGTTGCCCACTGCACTCCAGTGCCTTGAAGGGACTAGTACCCAGGGGGCTTTGCAGGCCATGTCTGTTATCCATTATTCCCATTGAATGTCCTAAATAACAGAGGGTAAAACATTGAGATTTACAAATAAATCCAGGGAGGAATGAGACAGGACCATGGAGGGACAGCTTGGATTGTTTTTGTCTTTCTTCAAAGATCCCACGGGCTGGATCGACCAGGGTACCAGATGAATGGTTTAAGAGCCCCAGTGAGACCAACAGCCATGTAGAGAGGCCATTTTCTTGGGCCCTGTAGTTTCCAGATACCTTCCAGGAGGTACACCCTCCGCAGACCGTAGATCCACTCACTCAACCATCACCCACCCGTCCAGCACAAGGGCCGCCTCGGTCCTGGCATAGCTGTCCAAAGGGTGCACTGAACAGCTGCTGACAAAGGGTC